CATCTATGCTGAGTGGACCTTAGTAACAGTTTCTAGAAGAGTCCACACTCACTTTGACGTGATCAGTATACTCAAAACCTTGCTAACATGAATATGTTCTAACACAACAATCAACCAATTCCGAACAGTTTTGTCTACTTAATTTCACTCACAACCCGTGATATGGTTTTGTAGACACTTCCCAAAGATGCTGCACGCCGATATCATTCCTACAGGCAGATATTATCAACAGGTCACCGTTTGATATCTTGACTATGAGCGGAATCGTAATCTGCTAAGCACTCAGCCACATATAACATATGACATCGGCTTTGTTGGTGTTAATGAAGCAATATTTATAACCATTGGTAGTAACACAAAAGGATTCAAGCCAAGTTTCAAAGAATTTAACAATACAATATATTTGAAACAAAGAAACTACGACAAAAATATATACACACCAAGGATTTATTTGGTTTCTTTTGTTTTATGGTATATCAACCTCAATGGGTTATTTAATGCCGACAATTTTTTTTATTGCTGGTGATTTTATTTTTATCAAATGTATTGCCGGTAAAAAATTTTCCCTTCAAGAATCTATTTCTGGTAATAATTTTTTCTTCAAAAATGTATTGCTGGTAATAATTTTTTTTTACAAAGTATTTCTGGTATTAAAACCTATTTTTACACTTTCATTGTGTTTTGACCCCAATTTGGGTGTTAACTATTTGCCCACAGTTGGGACCCTGATAGGTGCTACCACCCCGGTCAGGGTGGACCTGGGAATACCAGCAATTAAGAGATGGTTCCACGCTCCTCAAAACCTGATCAGACGCTTTGCTGTTGGACGTAGTTTATTGTGTTACCCAGGACGCGGATGTAGTTTATCGTCTTACGGCACACCATGGAAGGAAACCTTCGACGTTCATTGAAATTTATAAAATATTTCTAAAATTTTTTTTTTTTTTTTTTTCAGGAATGTCTTATATTTTATTGGAAGTAGTGTGGAACGTCAACATTTTATAACATTATTTTCTCTTGAAGTTAAATGTGACATCTATTTTAGTTGTTGCTGCTGTTAAGTCCTCAAGTGATGTCGTTTCTGTTATGGTACAGATTCTTGTTTGGTTCCGCCAGTCTGAGATTCGAAGAAAGATAGTTTTTGCTAAACCCTACAGGCTCCATTCGCTCGAAACCGTTTTTAATTATTGATCTAAGAAAACTGTTATATACAGCTGGCAGTTTAGATATTTCTGAATTTTCTGCATGACAACTATATGAAAATTTCGATCTGTCGAGGCTATTGAAGAACTTTACTCTAGTTTTAGATGAATGTGCACACACACACACACACACACACACACACACATATATGCACCAATGACGTAGGTGCAAATAGCATTGTTAGTTACTATATAAAAGTTAAACAGAATAACAAAAATCACTTCCAATCATGATAGTTTATAATACGTTCGTGAAACTGTAATTCCTTTCCAAATACATATATGCCACAATGTGTGCGTGTGTACAAACACAAACATACATAGATAAATTCAAAACCTGCGGAGGGTCGTTTGGGGAACTTGTGGCACGTAGTGCACCGGGCCTCTGTATTTGACCCTTCGAAAAGTGTGGTTGGTTCTTGACCACTATAATCAAATCATATGTGCTGTTGTCTAGCTGTCGGTTCCGAGGAACTGAGCTGCTTAACCCTCATACGCCGAATACGACGGGAGAGTCCACCCCTTTAGCTCTTGAAAATATGTTTTCAATGACAAGCTAATTCTAAAAACAACAGCCCCTAAGTTAATGCGAAGCTCTTCAGTAAAATGAATGGAGCACTTCGGTTGTTTGGCGTTTGTTTATATTTAGCCAAATCTAGATTTGGTTGACTCATTCTATCGAGTGAAGGTATCTCTGTGGTAGAGACTCTGACTGACACCAAATCGGTTGGGTTTCAATCCGGGCTTGAGGCATTCGGTTGTCTAGTCGCATTGAAGAGCTGTGATACAGCGAAACAGTACTGTCTGCGATTGACAGACATATATATATATATATATATATATATATATATATATATATATATATATATATATATATATATATATATATAAAATTTCTTTCTTGACCCGACCAAAGTAGGGATTCGAAAATAAATTGTGATTTTTTGTTCACGACCACGTCAGCTAGCGTTTCCTGCGTCTGCTGAGATCTATCACAGATTTATTGCAATCGCACTCCGTGAAAATAAAGAATTTCATTTGCTAACGAAATGTTTCTTTCTCTGTGGAAACGGTCTTAAATTCTTTATACTTTTGAATAACACCGCTTAGACTAAAGTAGAGAATTTTTAAGTATCAAAAAAATATCCAGTCATTTTAGTCCCCCTCAACTTGACAGCCTGATCGAACTGCCTTTCCTGTGGGGGAAGGAGTCAACACATCTTGTAGACATGGGGTTCTAGCAAAAATGACATCTCAGAATTTAAGCGCTTGACATATGCAAAGGGCATATAAGTTATCGATATACACTTGTGTACTCGAGTACGTGCGTATGTGAATGTGTCATGTTCTTTTTGAGTTTATAAAAAATAGGAGAAGCAACCAGTCAGTTACAGTACCAATTGTAATATGTCTATCAAAATGATGTGAGGGGCCGTTAATCTTGGCCTTCTATATACGTTGTGGTTGATAGTTCTAACTTTATTTGCCCGTAGACTGTAGAAGGAATGAGAAGTCGAGGAAATATGAGATTTTCTAATTTCAAATCATCTAATCAGTTCCGCCCACATGGAAAGCAGAACATGAACATAATTTCTTTATAACTTCTTGACTACCACTGTGACTCGTCCTGGGTAAGACGATAAACTACGTCCAACATCAAGGCCTCTGTTCAGGAGGCTTTGAGGAGCGTGGAACCACCTCTTAATCGCTGGTGTTCCCAGGTCCTCCCTGACCCAGAGTGGTAGCACCTGTTAGGGTCCCAGTTATGGGCAAATAGTTAACTCCGAAACTGGGCTAAAAACACTATGAAAGTGTAAAAATAGGTTTTAATACCAGAAATACTCTGTAAAAAATTATTTCCAGCAATAAATTTTCGAAAAAAAGAAAAATATTACCAGCAATATATTTTTGAAAAAATACAGAAAAAAAATATTACCAACAATAGTTTTTTGGGGAAAAAATTATTACCAGAAACACATTATGGAAGGAAAAATATTACTAGAAATAGATTTTTGACAAAACAAAATATTACCAGCAATAAAAAAAATTGTCGGCATTAAATAACCTATTGAGGTTGATACGCCGTAAAACAAACCAAACCAAACCACTGTGACTAGCTGGTGACTTTACATATATTTTTCATTGTCCAAGATACGCCATTTTGACGTAAACTTAACATTTCTAGTGTTCATTATTCCACTAGTAGATCCTATATTAAGGCATTTTTTAACGCCAGACAAGCATTAATTTAAAAAGCACAATATGTGCTTACACCTTATGTTAAAATATAATACTCGTTTGGTATATAAAAATGTCTTAAAATATGTTCTATTAGTGGAAGAGTGTGCACTTAAAAGTTAAATCATTTCGCCATCATTTGACCACGTGTAACATCTACGTGTCTGAACATATTGCTATGGCTTTCTGCGGTGAAGTCACGCTAGAGCTGTATTCTGGATAGCTACTGTAGATTTGATCTCGTATGCTATTGTCGGTGTAGTGAATGCAATTCTCAGTAGGTGTCCGAATATTGCGGTCTTTTAAAAAAATAAAGTCTTCTTAAATTATTCGAGATTTTATGCTTTCACTTCGTCCCCACCCATTTTTCTGTACGGGTGATGGCGGTGGGGTAATATTATTTTTTTATCTGAAATTCTTTGTTTTTAAACTAAATATAAATTGTGTGTTTTTCTTTCTTTCTTTTTTTTTTTCTGAATTTAATTTCTAAGTTTCGGAAATGCATAAACCTATGCTTACTTTTGAGAAATTCAAGGATATCAAAAAAAAAATGTTAATGAATAACCGATTATCTGCAACTTCTTTTTGTTTATTTGTTTGAAAGAAAAATATTTGAAAGCTGAAGAAGCTGGAACCCACTGAGTTTAAAATAATAATAATAATAATAATATAAATCTGAATATTTCTCGAAGAGTAAACAAATGCCAAATGAAGCTTTAAGACGTTTTGACGTTAAGATATTTTGTAACAAGGATAGCATTAGACAAAACATAATAACAGTATCGACTGTCAGGTTGAAAGAAAGAGACGAGAGTGGGGATAGAGGTGCCTTCAGCTAGTTAGAAAGGAGATGCTCGTCTCCCTTTCTGTCCGTTGTGCTAGTGGAAGATGCATATTTGTCTGGCCACAAGGCATACACTGCTAGAGTCTGAAAACTGAAACCACACCACTTCTTCTTCATTCCACCTTTCAGCCTAGTTATCTGCCACTATTATATTGTGTTTGACAGCTGCGGCGTCATTACTGAGAAAGGAGATGGCCGTTAGCGTCTCTATTCATTTTTTTTTTCTTTTTCTCCTTTTTTTCTTCAGATGGCAAACCAGTGTCAAACACAAGACGCGCATTTCTGTACCCATCTCTCGAATTTTATTTTACGATTTTTTGTTTCGTTTATATTTTCTCTAACTAGTTATCCTTTTGCTGTTATTATTATTATTGTTATAAAAAATGATAATATTTTTTACCTTTATTCTTTTCTAAATCTTTTTCCTCTTCCTCTGGTTTCCTTCCGTCTCTTTTAATTTCTTCCTTTTTTTTTTTACGTGGATATTTTCTTTCTCCCCACCCCACTACTCTCGCTCCTTTTACCTGAATTTACCCCCGCTTATTATTGCTTTTCAACTTTATCGCCATTTTTATGTTAATTTTTTTTCTCCCCGACTTTCTCTACTCCTTCATCTCCCTCTTCTCATATTCCTCCAACACTTTCCTATTTTTTTTATACTCACCCTCATTCTCTCTTCTTACTTTTTTAATACCTCCACTTCCATTTTTTACAAGGTTTCTCTTTCCCCATCTTCTCCTGCTTCCTCTCATATTCCTCGATCATTCCCCATTTTGCAAGTAGTCTATTAAGATATCCCCCTCTCTCTTCATCTATCATCTCTTTCTCTCTCTATCATCTCTCTCTCTCTTCCTCTATCATCTCTCTCTCTCTTCCTCTATCATCTCTCTCTCTCTCTCTCTTCCTCTATCATCTCTCTCTCTCTCTCTCTTCCTCTATCATCTCTCTCTCTTCCTCTATCATTTCTCTCTCTCTCCTTTCATTTCTCTCGGTCTCTTTTATCATCTCACTCTCTCTCTTCCTCTATCATCTCTCTCTCTCTCTCTCTCTTTCCGGTTTCTCTTCACATCATCTCCTCCTCTTTTCACATGTCTCCATCTCCCTCTTTTTACAATGTTTTTTCTTCACCCTCTCTTCTATTCGTCTATCACACCCCCTCCTTTTTACTAGTTTTCTCTTCCCCATCATCTCCCTATTTATACAACGTTTATTTTCTTCCTCCTCTCCTCACATTCCTCTATTAACTCTCCTTTCTTTTTTCCTTTTTTTTTTACAATAATTCTTTCTTTTTATATTCCTCTGTCATCTCCGCTTTTTTATTGTCTTTCTCTTCAACTATTTTCCTTCTCCTGTTCCTTCATCATCTTCCAATTTTTACAAGATTTCTCTTCCTCATTCTCTCCTCCTCCTCCTCCTCCTCCGTCATATTCCTATGTTATCTCCCTCCTACAAGATTTCTCTTCTCCATCTTGTCCTCTTCTTGCACCATCCCCAACTTGTTTTCCATAGATTTCCCACTCTCCTTCGTCCCGCCGTTTTTTTTACGTAGATACTTCACCCTCCTCGACTCTATATCTCTCCCTCTTTATCCCTCCTACCCCCCAACTCTTTTATGGGATTTTTTTATCCGTCATTATCGGAACAATGACAAAATGAATTGAGTCGATGCGATTAACATAAAACCAGTTCTCAGTTGAAATCACAAAACTAAACCATACACTTTATTTACGTTGTATTAAGTTATTCATTGGCATTTTACTTACTCCCCCACGACCACTACAGCAATTTCTTTACCCATCTATTTTTGGACAAAAATGTCAAGTTGGCATTTATCATCACTTACTAAGCTTAATTGAGTTTAGCACAAAACTGCAAGTGTAGTGAACTCCGTAAAACTATAGTAATAATGGCTGACGAGATAAATTTGTTAATCCTTGCCGCTCAGTCTGACACCTTCCATTTAGCTTTCACAATAAAAGCTTTTAGAATAGATATTTTAACGCAAACATTGGTACAAGGTTGTTCCCATGGATCAACCATTTATTAATGATCACAAGTAAAGCTTTAATCTTTGTACTTTCTTTTTACTTCCAGTTCAATTACAAAATATAAAAACTAAAGAAAAATACAACGAACCAACTTCGTTCATAAGAAACGTATATGGATCAGTGTTTCAATGTTACTCACGGGGAATATATATATTATATAAAGTGAACATTGAAGTCAACACTCAGAGAGAGAGGAAGAGAGAAAGACGAAGAAAGAGAGAGATGAAAAAAAGCCTGTCGCCTTTGAATGTTGAATTTAATGTTCATTTTTATATTTTTATTTACACACGCTCTATCTCTGATATTGAGCACTTTATCCCATAAATATAGCACACCTTAAAACTATATATATATATATATATATATATATATATATATATATATATAATAACGTCCTCAAAATTAGGGACATTTGTTTAGAAATTGATATTCCTTTTTGTTTAATTTTTATATCCTCTGAATAATGCAAAGATTAAAAGAATTAACTTTTTAATTGATTTCAGCACAGTAATGTTAATTTATTAATATTTAACGCCAATCAAATTGTTTTTGGAACACTCCAATTATCCCCTACTTTTATTTAACAAACAAATACGCACAACGAAATAGTGTAAATGAAATACCACCATTACTTAATAGGTTAACTGAATTCCTTTAAAGCATCATCACATTTACGGGACTTCGATGCAATTACATTCCTTTTCTCTTTCCAGTGGGATTTTCCAAAACATTTTTTCATATCATTTGTAAATATCATTCGCGTTTCCAGGCTTATTATGTTTGATGTTACTTTTGACCTTTTGTCATAAGTTGTCAATGACTTTGATGTCCGACAACTGGGCCGGCCACTACATTACCTCAATTTGATTGGATTCGATGTAGGTTTTAATTTCTTGTTAGTTCCAGTGGTTATTAAATTGAATAAACCAGAATCGATTCACGGGATTTTGGGTTCTTGATGAGCGGGCGTGTATGTATGTCTGCGTACGTCAATGAGTGAATGAACGTGCATGTATGTAAGTTTGCGTACATATGGGCGGCGTTCCGATGACAATTTTTCCTCCGACTACCATAAAAACACCGATATACGCAACCATATATAAAGCCAAAATTTAAAAATTGATCATTTTGTCTGACGATCGCAATTAGCGTGAAACCCAGGGTCACAAACTCACATCAATCCGTCTAAATGTGTTAGCTCTATCACTGATATTGAGCGCTTTCCAATAAGTACCGCGCATATAGTGATTTTCTAAGCCCGGCTTAGATGTGGCACATGGCCGAAAGTATGGGGCACCCAGTGAGGATCGAACTCACTACTCAGTCGTAAATGATCTAGCAAGACAAGCTTTCTAACCATTACACCACGTCGAGGTGCCCAAAGTACCGCGCATATATAATATATAAATAATTGCATATATATATATATATATTATTCACAGAAATAGCGATAGAGAATCCATAGTATTTCAAATTTTCATATGTGGGAAATGGGCTGTATAGTGGAAAATAATCCATCACCCACAACGCCGGCAACGATACTCCATTTTTGGACTGATCTTACTCTTGTAAATCTAAAGCATGGTAGAAGGGGTCAGGTACTTCATGAATCGGTACAAGGAGTTTACCCTCTTCCCAACATCATTAACGATGGATCGTATATAGAAATTCACGAGATGTGTGGTGAAATTGGTTTCCAATAGACATTCAAAGCAAGGAGTTTCATTGAGAGTGTAACTATTCATCATGACTGGAAAAAATCGCTGTCTGCGAATTTATCTAATATTTCTTTATAAGACTTATTACCTATAATTCCCTTAACGCTATATAATAGACAGACAACTTTTCCAGACGTTATTTGGCGAATTCAGCGCGAAATCAACTTTTTTTTTTTTTAAGCAAACGATTGCTTCTTGGCCATCTATGCGTCAAATTGCTCTAGGTGATTTTCTTAGTATTCTGAGGTATTTTCCAACAATAGTTTTGGATTACATCAGTTCTTATAGCAATATCACTCTCTTTTTTTTCTGTTGGTTGTTGAAAATTGGTAAATGCGCCTATTTGGTTGTCTGTTTGTCCAAATGTAAGCTAACCTGTTAGCAGAGCTTAAAAAACACCGAATGCTACCTCTGTAGAGGAGTACGTCCAGACAATTACACCATTACAAAGTGGAACAACTCGGTTGTAGATAGTTGCGAACTTGGGAAAGTGCGACCACTGATTGCGTCTCGAGTCTAAACGCGAGCCCTGTTTGCGTCTCGAGTCTAAACGCGAGCCCTTTTTGCGTCTCCAGTCTAAACACATCCCATAATGAAAACAAATTTGGATATTAAATAACCGAACAAGTGTTAATTTATTATTGTCAGTTCTATCAACACAACCCAAATCTGGGTTAATTCAAATAGCCACATATTTTATTGTAGATATTTTTTGAGCGCCCAAACTTTTCCATAAGAGTTTACATAGATTTTCGTTTAGAGTGGATTTTATCACAAATATCTCCCCACTTATACTAAAACTATCCCATCTCTGGGCGTATTAGATGATTTTAAATCAAATTTACTAATCTTAAAGAATTTTCTGTATCCGGTAATTAAGTAACGTTATCTTAATAACGTCTAATAAGAACTCGAGACAAAATCTTTCATGCGTAAACTTATTTTTTTATTCATTTATGGATACCGATAGTATAATGCCGGTGAGAGAGTGTGCGGTTATAGCGTTTATATAACTTCTTCTCATCCTCATTATGTGCTAAATACATGCTAAATTTAGTTGGCTTGATGTCCTGTTGATATGTCGGAGCAGTCATTGACATCTTTTGATTCATGGATCATTTTCTACGATTTATCAGAACCTTTTCAGGTTATTTAAAGCCAGAAAATATTTTTAAACTAAGAACTTTTTTTTTCATCTCCTCTTAGAACAAAGGTTCATAATTGATATTAAAATTGATTCAAGCTTCTGGTATTTCTTGGCTTTAATTATATACTACAATAAGTACCTCCACGAATTCGGTATATGTAAGGTTTAAAATGAATTTTTTAAAATGAAAGTTTTTTCTGAAGCCTTCAATTTAACTTTAAATGAAAACAAAAGGATTAAAGTTACTATATCCAGTAAGCAAAATAATTTGGTATATTTCAGACAGAAATTATATTGATTGGAAGAGAATTACATTTTCTTTTTTCTTTAGTAAAATCGATCACATTAGCCATGTTTAGATATTTGTAAACAAAACTTAATTTTCCGTTTTAAAAATCTTGCAAAAATAAACTATGTATTTCTTAAACGTTATTAGAGAAAATTAGCAAATTTAAAATCAAGTTAATTCTTATAATCCGAAATAAGTTTTAGGTTTAAAATAACCTACAGAGGAATGAAAAGCCGTTTAAAAAACACTTTTTATCCTCAATTTTCCATACTGAAAACTAATAAATGCCGTACAAATAAATTTTGTGCTGTTGCATGATCTTCTCCGTAGTTACTGGCAATTATCTAAACTCTAAACTCTAAATGGATAAATATAACCGATTTCGCGTTCAGTATCTGGGTATATTTCTGAGATGAGGTATTATGTACACTATTTACATTATTCACTGGATCTAACCAACGCCTTTGGGACACATGACACAGTGGATAAAGGTGTTGGCTAGATCCAGTGACAGGATCCAAAAAGTTGTGAGTTCAATACCTGGTTAAGTCAGTGTAGAACTTGGAGAGGTGAATTAACAGGAGATAACCGATAACTGACATCCATTAGACATGGCATGTGGAACTAGAACAGTCTACCCCAGCGAGTGAAATAAAGGGTTCAGTTCGACATTGCAACCACCTGAAAAAGGCCGGAGCGTACAACGGCCGAAACGTTGCGATAAATATGGCGACAAAGATGAGGACAATAGTCTGAATAACGATTTCGCGTTATCAACAAATAAATTGGAAATGCTTCTAACAGTATCCTAAAACTAAAAGGCGGTGATCCATATGATAAAAAATTGTTTAACGGGAAATGTATTACGATATTTTAACTTTTCCTACCGAAATAGTTCATCCATGCGGCATATCCCTTCAGGACGTGGGCGATCATTGCTTTATCTAGCTTTCAATATTTTTTTATTTTCCGCAATACTTGCTCATTTATGGACAATATTTGTGGTACTGGCTTCTACATATATAAAAATTAAAATAAACATCTGGTATTATAGGTGTTTAAAAAAAAAAAAGGTAT